ACACTTACCGTAATTTGGCCTTTGTTGTTCCCAAACGTCATTTTATCAAAGATAACTACACACTTCCTCGGTAGTAAGTAGTCCAACCCTAATATGCATAATGTCCTGTCACACTACAGAGCTTGTGTAGTGCTTCTGGTACTCCTTTGTGCTCTAGCAACTTGATACTCACAAAGGTTTGCTGAGATGCAGAATCTATGACAGAGTTGCACTTTTGGCCATCCAGCTTTCCTGTCACATAGACACTATGTGTGCTGCCCATTTTACACTTAGCTGTTGGGACTTTCACAATTTGGTTTGGTGGGCGTCCATCAACACCAACCACTAGTGGTTTCCCCGAGGTTGACTTATTGGTAGTATTCTTCTTACATTGGCTCCTCATATGTCCTGGCTCTCCACAGTTCCAACAACCTTTTTGGGTAGCAGCCTTTCCTGCTGTGGCATCTTCCCTGTGTTGAAGTTTCCAGCATTGAGCTCTCTTGTGCCCAGGTTTGTTACAGTGCCAGCAAAGTCCCTCAAACTTCTCTGAAAGCTGACCTTTTCTGGTCTTGAATCCTAACGACTGTACCAACCTTGGTAGTTCTGTGCTGGACTTAACGTAGGATTCAAATTCACGAGCTCTGGCCATTGCATCCTGCTTAGTAGAGGGGTGTGTTTGCTTTACTTACATCTTCAGTTGTCGACTTTCCAAGGCGTCTACAAACTGATCCCTCAGTAACAGCTTGAGGACATCGTGCGGTGCAGTTGGGTAGGCCTTGTGTGTCATACTTTCTGAATCCTGTGCCAGCTCTTAGTCCTAAATCTAGCCCTGTAGACCTTGGACTGATTTTGAGTTCCATACCTGAGTTATAGAGCAACTACCAGTGCTCTGTAGTTATGCGTGTCATCTGCTGACAACTGTCCAACTATTTCCAGTGGTTGTCCCTTCAGGCTCGTTGCCAGGTACACTGCTTTTTGCTTCTCTGTCCATCCATTCATTTTTGCCAGGAGCTCAAACTGAACTCTATATGCTTCCCACGGTGCCTTCCCATCGAATTCCTGGGGCTTCCTTCGCACTAGATCACCCCTATTGCTGACACTCATGTCTGGAATGTGACTTCTGGCAGGACTGAAGATGTCTGCATTAGGGTTTAGCTGCAGAGTCTGGAAGGGGCTTCCTGTTGTCTGGGGCTGATTAGATCCATGGCTAATATATCCTCCTTGTGTAAAAGACAGTAAATCGTCCTTTAATGTATTTAATTCACTTTGAAATTTACTAATCTTTTCCATTTGTACTTCTTGTTTCCTTTCTTGTTCCAACTGCCACTGGTACTGGTTTTCTTGCCATTGCTATAGTCTCTCTTCTTGTTTATTTATTTTTCCTCCAACAACTGCTGTAATCTCTCTTCTTGTTTCTTTTCTCGTTCTTCTTGTTTCTTTTGCTGTTCTTGTATTGCTGCAATCAAATCTGCTAAGCTGTAGTTTGATTTGCTACTTCTGGTTTCCTTCTTCTGTTTTTTCTTTTCCGTCCTACTCTTTGACCTGACGTATAAATCAAGATATTGGTCTCATAATATATTGTTACGTATCTGCTTGTTTGTTAATTTCCGGTAGAAATTCTTTCCAAGAAACTTCAGTGATACAATTCCTTTCTGGGTTAAACCAGTTTATTCTTTCTCGATACAAACTTTTATCACATAGTAATTTCACAATCAGTACGTTTCTAAACTTAACTACTTTTATAATAAACGCTATAAATCACAGCGATTCACAATCTCGAAAACACACAGAAACAGAAATCGTAAATACCCGGAACTCTCTTCATTCATTCCCGCAGGCTTTCTCTGCCAGACTTATATACTAAAAGAGAGGGCGTCCCGAACAAACTCGGTCTTTCTCGATAATTCATGATCATTCGAGAAATTCATTACGTGTTACTAGAATCACGTGACTTCCGCTGTCGTAACAAAATAATAACAAAGTATACCAGTCAGGCTCAGTAGTGGCTTGCGTGTATTGAAATTAAATATATTTCTTAATTTATTACTTCGCTTGTTAATAAAGTAAGTCACTCGGCTTCAGCTAGATTATACTATATTCTAACAACTGTTACATCACATAACATTTGTCAAAATATTTAAACAATACTTTATAATACAATGAACTGAAAATTATTGTACGAAAACATGGTGTGAGCTAAACAGAGTCGGGTTGGAACTTAGTTTCTCTGGAACTTTAGACAGTGTAGACATAGTAGGTTTGAAAACTTTAATGGACTCAACTGCCTGTCGAAAGAAAAGGCCTAAGTATAGAACGGCTTCTATACTTCTACTCTATTTGAAATTATCAAATATGTATGTCAACATTAACTTTCTGTTTTATACATACCACGACAATGTGATTATAGTGGTCAAAATATTTTTATATATACCATACTAATGTAATCATAGTGGTCAAAATATTTTTATATATACCACACCAATGTAATCATAGCGGTCAAAATATTTTTATATATACCACACCAATGTAATCATAGCGGTCAAAATATTTTTATATATACCACACCAATGTAATCATAGGTCAAAATATTTTTATATATACCACACCAATGTAATCTTAGATCAAAATCTTTTTATACATACCACACTAATGTAATCATAGTGGTCAAAATATTTTTATATATACCACACCAATGTAATCATAGCGGTCAAAATATTTTTATATATACCACACCAATGTAATCATAGCGGTCAAAATATTTTTATATATACCACACCAATGTAATCATAGCGGTCAAAATATTTTTATATATACCACACCAATGAAATCTTAGGTCAAAATACTTTTATATATATATATATCACATCAATGTAATCATAGTGGTCAAAATATTTTTATATATACCACGCCAATGTAATCATAGTGGTCAAAATCTTTTTTATACGTGCCACAACAATTTAAACATAGTGGTCAAAATATTTTTGTACTTACCACAACAATGTAAGCATAATGGTCAAAATATGTTTATACGTACCACAAGAATGAATTCATAGTGGTCAAAATCGTTTTTTGTACGTACCACAACAACGTAATCATAGTGGTCAAAATCTTCCTTTGCATCCTCTCTTCTCTGCTGTAAGGCCAAACCAAATCCATTCTTCCCTCTGTGTAAGGTCACTGTGGCTTCTTCGTGTGTCGGTTTGTGATTTTCTGGAGAAGAAGAAAAAGTTAAACGTTTTATTTAGAACATGCCCATACGAACATCCGACATTTAAAAGTCCAACTGATTTATGTAGAGGGGGAGGACTTCATGTCCGTAGTCTAACGATGGACGCCTTATATCTACAATGATTGTCGCACGTTCCTCTGGTGTCCGTCAACTTGGCACGAGGGTTGAACTGCCAGGTCAGCCATCAGTATAATTGTCCCTGATTTTGAATCATTAAACAGATGGAAGGAAATCGAGGGCTAGGCGTAACACAGAAGCTGGCGTTCCCGGGTTGGGAATCCGAGGGTTCATGGTTTACTTCTCTTTGATGTAAAATCTCGCTCAGCGCTTTGGAGCTGTATGCTCTACAAGAGTGAGAGTCAGTGACGGTAAAATCCAATTATTCGGCCAGACAAGCGTGGTCCAAAATTTACCGGTGTGTATTGTTAACTGGTTGCCATCCCTGTAGCCTATTGGTACTATATTAGGGACGGCTATGCGTAGATAGCCAGCCTATGTGTAGCTTTGTGCAAATTATGTGAAGACAATAACAAACATTTATTCATTAAATAACTGGTTTTCTACCTTTTAAAATAATCACGTTGTTCAAAATATAATTTACGAGGGTACTTTAAATACAACTCAAACCTTCTCAGTAACAGATGCCTTAAATTATTAAATACAACTCAAACCTTCTCAGTAACAGATGCCTTAAATTATTAAATACAACTCAAACCTTCTTAGTAACAGATGCCTTAAATTATTAAATACAACTCAAACCTTCTTAGTAACAGATGCCTTAAATTATTAAATACAACTCAAACCTT